TGTTTATCGATTTTTGTGTTCATCACTACACTGTTATATGTGTTATCATTATTTCACAAAATGACAGTAGGTCATGTCAAATCAGGAATCGAATTAAAATTCTGACTATAGTAATATTTTTTTAAATACTTGAAGCAGGTTTAGAATAGTTCAAATCATCCTTTTATTCTTTACGATGGAGAAACTAATTTGCATCAAAACTGAAGTGGGTCAATTAATGAATTTTTTCAGATATCAGGGAAGTTTTATTCCCATTTACCTCCAGTGGCAAAACCCGCAGAGAGTGAGAGTGACAGACCCTTACTGACTAAAAACCCCCCTCTTCCTTCTTTTTTAGGTGGGAGGCCGCGAAGCCTCATTGCTCTTACCCCGGAACCCTAGCCGGGAGAGTTAAAGATTGAAAATAATCCTTCTGTAGGCTACCAGCGAATAAGCATTAAAAATTTCAACTCCATATGACAATTTGCCCTTATGGCAAGTACAGTAAAATTAAGACTGAGAACGCCCGAACGCTAGCGGAGGATTAGCTTTTAAAAGTTTTTATCGCCACCAATCGCCGTATTTTTATCCTTATCAGTTCTCTAACTGTAAAACCATGTAAATAACAAATTAACATAGGGAGAACGACCATCCACATTTAGAGTTGCCAGCATAATAATGTATCGCGGCTCCGGCTTATAGTAAGAGAAGGAACGGGGTAGATTTTAGTCAGTTAGAGTCTGACACTCTCTCCCCCCACTTTACTACTTTCTACTATTGTAAGCGCCTTAAGAGAAATGATTAAAATGACATAACATATAAGTTTTATTTACAAAATGTGAAGGGAGAATTAAAATAAAACGCTGGATTCAATATTGCATTCGTGACTTTAACATCTGTATATTAAAAAAAGTAATAAAAATGATTTAGTTTCTCGTCAAGTCTAACGGATCTATCAGCTGTGTCATTGGATCTTCGGTAACTTTACTCACACGGCTTTTTAGACCTTGGATATGAGTAAAAGGTACATAGAAATATTTTTTTTATAGCAGAGGCAAACGAGCAGACGGATTACCTGATGGTAAGCAATCGGCGCCGCCCATGGACACCCGTAATACCAAAGGAGTTACTACAAGTGCGTTGCCGACCTCTTGTGGGCTATTAGGGATTTAAGGATAGGGGATTTGAGGATTGAGGATAGCGGTGCGGGGAATGAATTGGTATCCGGTAACCTCACTCACACGGCGAAACACAACGCTGTGGTTGTTTCACGCCGGTTTTCTGTGAGGCCGTGGTATCACTCCGGTCGAGCCGACCCATTCGTGCCGAATCATGGCTCTCCCACACTTATAACTTCGTTATTATTATTTCAATAATTTCTATGCGACTTTAAAGACTTCAAAATCACAAATGCAACATCAAATTCTATGTACAAACAAAATAATCTAGCCAATTCTTCTAAAAAAAGAAAGAAAAAGAAACAGAAAAACATTTCTTGAACGCTTCCTTTATACTTATAAAAAAAACTTAAATTCTTTTAATATATTCTAGTACAATGAAATAAATATATTATTATGTAGATTGGAAAAAACATCTGAGCAACGAGAGATCTTTAAAATATTGTTTTGGAAACATACTAATAAGGCGTCAGTTACATAATTATATAAGTATTTTCATATGATACATTGGTTTTACTGATGGTAAGTAATCTGCGACGACCATGGACACCTGCAACATTGGAGGAGTTACGAGTGCGTTGGCCTTTTAAGGAGTGTTACAATAATAAAACAAAAATGACTGCACGGTTGGTGCGGTGGCCGGGCAACTGGCTGCCGTGCAACGTGTCGCGGGTCCGATTCCCGCACGGAACAACTCTTTGTGTGATCCACAAATTGTTGTTCCGGGTCTGAGTGTCATGTGTATGTGAAATTTTATGTTTGTAACCGCACCCACGACACAGGAGAAAATCCTAATGTGGGGCAACGTTTTTTTTAAATAAAAAATTGATAATTAGGTAATTATCTACATAATGAACACAAGGAGTTGTGTTATCGTGACTGTTATAAGTTATTTTTTATTTATTGTATTATTTTATATCAGTGTTTAAAATTATAAATTGCTCAAACATTATATATCCAATGTATACAACTGCGACCGCCATATTGGTAGGAAACAGTTTCACAAACCTGGCAACACCGACGTAGCAGATTATAAATAACATTTTTTTAAATCACAGTGACGATAAAAACGTGCATTTTTTTTTTAATTTAAAAATGGCGAATGCTTTTATATATTATGCATAGTGCATACATTGTAAGACTACGAAATTAAAATAAAAATAAATATTGAATTTGAAGATATTTCTGTTAAAAAGTTACCAAGTGAATATCGCACAGCGATAAGGTACATTTTGTTTTGACAAAGATTAGTTTTTTTAATGAAAATTGAACTTTATTTCCTTAAGTAAAAGAATCAAAAATATCTTCAAACCCAATAGGATAATAGGCAACAGCAGTAGTGTCTTAAAAGCTACGGTAATATAAAAATATTGATAGCATTAATTACTACTATATCATCAAAAAGTTCGGTTCGTTTGTTTATCAAAGGTATTAAGTTAGTGAGAGAACAAATCATTTAAAAATTTTACCTTCATATCGATGCGATTTAAAAGAAAATTTAATTCAATTGAGATCGAACAAACAATCGCACGGACAGACCATTATTACACTATAGTATAGAACAAAGTCGCTTTCTCTGTCCCTATATCCCTATGTACGCTTAAATCTTTAAAACTACGCAACGGATTTAGGGATTGGGGAAGGGGGAAGGCAACCTCTGGCAACCTCACTCACACGGCGAAACATACGATGTGTTTTTTTATGTAATATCTCGGCAAACGAGCATACGGATTACCTGATGGTAAGCAATCAGCGCCGCCCATGGACACCCGCAACGGAAGAGTAACGAGTGCGTTGCGACCTTTTAGGGATTAGGGACTTGGAGATTTAGGGATTGAGGATCCCTCCTCTATCCCTAATTGGGGAGGGAAAGCTTGGGCCTCCGGTAACCTCACTCACACAGCGAAACACAACGCTTGGTTGTTTCACGTCGGTATTCTGTGAGGCCGTGGTATCACTCCGGTCGAGCCGACCCATTCGTGCCGAAGCATGGCTCTCCCGGTCTAAACTTACTTTAAACTGCGTGCCCACTAAAAGCTTCGATAGACAAACAAACCGAAACCGGAAAAGGAGACAAAATTATTTCTTTAATTATTATTAGGTACAAATATTATTTTGAAAAAATTGTATGAAAAATACAAAAAGTCCACCTAGAACGTCTACTAGTTTAATTATAATTATATGTATAATTAACTTTTCTTACTTTCTCTCTAACTTTACCCACGTACAGACAGTCTGATACTTATTCGTATTGGATGATTGTTATCTGAACTTTTGAATTGCACACCCATCATTTTCTAAGCCTTGGCAAGCCTAGCAATGTTCCTCATTAATATAAAAACCTAGCGTTGCTTGAAACTCGACAGATTCCTCTGTCAAACAGTTATTTTTTTATGGAATAGTTCGGCAAACGAGCATCCGAATTACCTGATGGTAAGCAATCAAACCTTATGCTCAACCAAAAGTATTTACCAAAAAAAAAACTCAAATTTTCTTAACCTCGGTCGGTGACCCATCAATTTCCATACCTCGACAAAAACAGCTTAAACTTATTTAACAAATCATCCATTACAAACAGTATTACAATTCTATAACTAACATGAATATTATATATATAGTTAATTGTGATATTATAAAGAGGTAAAATTTGTAAGTTTGTATGTAGGGGGTAATCTTTGGAACCGCTGGTCGGATTGCCAAAATTCTTTCACTGATAGATAGCTACAATGTTCTTGGGTGCTATAGGCTATAAAACATCACGCTACGATCGAATGGAGGCGAGTAGCGGGAGAGTAGCAAGTAGCCTATATATACAAAAAAAAAATAGTTCAACTCAAACTAGTAGTTCTGTAACCATACACTAATCACAATCACAATTAACTATATATATTAATATATACTAAAAAAACTGAATATATAAACATTATTACAACTTAACAAACATATATATCATAGTTTACTTTTCTTTGGATATTGAGCTGAGAGATTACCTGATGGTAAGCAATCAATGTTGGCACGGGACACCCACAACACCAGTGGAGTTATAATTGCGTTGCTATCCTTAAGAGTGGAGGATTTGTCTTTTAGGACATCTCACAGAAACTTTTATAAGTATGTATGTTGGTCTTTAACTCGAAAACTACTGAATAGACTTGAATGAAATTCGGTACAGAGACGACAATCGAGCAGACGGATTACCTGATGGTAAGCAATCAGCGCCGCCCATGGAGGAGTTTCAAGAGCGTTGCCGACCTTGGTGATTTAAGGATTGGATGAGGGGAAGGATTGGGCCTTTGGTAACCTCACTCACACGGCGAAACACAACGCTGTGGTTGTTTCACGCCGGTTTTCTGTGAGGCCGTGGTATCACTCCGGTCGAGCCGACTCATTCGTGCCGAAGCATAGCTCTCACATGGGATACCAGCTACCAGATGTCGATTTTACATATTTTCAAGATTTTTTAGCTTAAATTTTCTCTACCTACGTAAAAACCTTCTCTGGACTGCCACGAATAATACAAGACCAAAATTAACCAAATCGGTAAAGGCATTGTTGAGTTGAGTTATAAGATTACAACAAAAAGTGGCATTGATTTTTATATATATACCCTCCCGCCCTGCTTCGCACAGGCCAAACTATCTCGCTATCAAAGTGTCACTTTTTCCTAATCATCCCCTCTACTTTTCTAATATTTTCTTTTTTGATAAGAACCTTCTCCTGACAATAGCAAACACAACAAAAAAAGAATTAGCAAAATTGGTCCAGGCGTTGTTGAGTTATGCGCTTACCAACACATTTTGCGATCCATTTTTATACATAGAGATATAGATAAGTTTGTTAAGTATATAATAGTATTTACTTTCAGTTATCGAGCCTCAGTCTTCTTCAGCTTAGTTGAGGATAATCAATCTGGGAGGAAGCATCCCACGTTTGCTTAACCACATCCTGGAAGAAAAGAGAAAAGAAATTATCAGTACAATTGTGTAGTTTCCTAAGTCAAAAATAAATTAATTCGACGTTTCAATACAATAAAATATTGAAAAATAACTTAAACTTTTATTCATCGATCGATCGATACACTTAACCCCGGTTTCCGAAAGGCCGATCAAAGTTAAAATCAATTTAATCTCTTGTCAAGTCATCTGATTGGTTGACTGAATTATCAACAACCATACAGATGACTTGACAAGTGATTTAACAGGAGATTAGTTAATTTTAGCGTTGACAAGCCTTTCAGAAACCGGGTGTAATTTAGCTAATTATTATGAAATAAGTAAGCTATTCGATGCAAATTTCATAGAAAAGTATCGTTTTCGACATTTGGATTAATTTATTGAATTTGACTAGTTGGAAACTACCGTATTCAAAGTCAAAATTATTAATCTTAATTCCCGCACGGAATAACTCAGTGTGAACGCTGCAACTCCTGTACACCAGGATCTACAGTAGATACAACCATGAAAACACCGGAACACTGAAGTCCGGCGCGTACCAGGGACATGAATGACTGTCTTGGATCCCGCAACGAAATAAATCATAAGATATTATTTGAGGAGAAGAAAAAACTAAATAGTTTCCACTTCCTCGGTAAATTAATGTGTAATTCACAAATTGTTGTTCCGTGGGTCTGTGTGTGATGTTTATGTGAAATTGTATGTTTGTAAACGCACCCACGACACAGCAGAAAATTCCAGAGAGGAGCAATTTCTATAAAAAGAGCAGCGAAGGCCGGAGATTATCTCTCCACAAAACAGAAATAATCTCTCAGATTAGAGATCTCGTCAGACTCTTACTGACTAAAAAACCCCGTTTCTTCTCCTGCTCTGTGCCGAGGTCGCGGTGCCTCATTGCGCTTACCCCGCAACCCCGGCTGAACATCAGCCCTATAGGGCCCCGTCTGTGGTGGTCTATTGGCTCTTTGAGGCGCGCGCGGAACGCTAAGCGCCGTACGCTCGGGAAAATTTCATATCCATGACATCCCTAATAGGAACCTAATTTCGTCCGGTGTTAAGCACTCACCCAATCCCAGCGCCGAGCAGTAATGAGACAACGTTGGTTAGCAGTACAGCTGCGATGGCGCCCCGACTGAACAGGCACGTACGACGGACGGACAGGCAGTGGCTCTGGAATGATACAATAGTACATTATGATACAAGTGTGTAATGTTGGTGATTAAGGTCTTAAGGAGCCGAAGACGGTAATCATCAATACACACGTGTATCATACGACGGTTTTCAACACATTGCCGAATAAAATAATACTTTGTAACGACATCTCATGGCTTTGTAACACCACCTGTGTCCACGGTAAGAATGGATTTGTAACGCATATAAGTGTGGGAGAGCCATGCTTCGGCACGAATGGGTCGGCTCGACCGGAGTGATACCACGGCCTCACAGAAAACCGGCGTGAAACAACCACAGCGTTGTGTTTCGCCGTGTGAGTGAGGTTACCGGAGGCCCAATCCTTCCCCCTCCTCAATCCCTAAATCTCCAAATCCCTAATCCCTAAAAGGTCGGCAAGGCACTCGTAACTCCTCCGTTGTGAGTGTCCATGGGCAGCGCTGATTGTTTACCATCAGGTAATCCGTCTGCTCGTTTGCCGACCTTTTACATAAAAAAAAAATCTATCGCACAACATTAACAACAACACCAATCACGTGCAAGATTATACATCGCGCAAGTGAAGTTTACGCGCTAATAAGAAGCACCTACAGAAAATCCCGACAACAACCGTCGGGCAGTAGCCCACCAGGCACGAACACCCGTCTGGTCGGAAAGATCCTCCCTTTTCAATGGAGGATGAGGAACTTTCCACCCTGTTCCTCATACCTCTAAAACTTAAATAAAATACTTGAAAAGAGAAAACGAGACGAGTTGTGAAACATATTTCGTAAGTAATGGCGGGAAAAATTAATCAGTTTTCTTATGCGCGCGCATCGGCCATAGACAAAAATGATGTTTCTTTTTTTGGGCTTTCCGCGGATAGTATTTTAGCGCAAGTTTAAGCGTAACTCAACAAATAATAAAAACAAACTCTATTACTCACTTGTGAATTATAGTAATGAAAAAAGTCACAGTTTCATTGTAGATGTCATTATGTGCCTACTTGCCGTGGATCTTGACCCACTATATGTATATTCCTGGAGTCTATTAACGTTCTACTTAAAAATAATAATTAATTCACATTCTTAGATTTTATTACAGACTAGCTTCTGACCGCGACTTCGTCCGCGTGGTATGTTGATAAAAAGTTTCCTATGCCTGTGTTGTTTGGTACCGATATCCGAACGCAATTTTGTTCCTTTAGCCCCTCTCCTCGATGACTGTACACTTTACTTTACGCCATTACACGAATTTGAAATCAAGCTGCATTTTAACTGTGCTCCTAAAAAAACCTTCGCTGTAGGCAACTAAGTAGCAGAAACCTAACCCATATGTAGCCTGGAGTAAAAAGAAAAAGAAAAGAAAGAAAACATTAAAAGCGCACACATAGAAATCAAAAATACAAAAAAAAGAAGAGAAAAAACTATACCAATTATATAAACTAAATGATGCAATAATTTAACTGTTAACTAACATAAAATTATGTACGCCGCTACAGTGCCAAGTTGCATCGAGATCCGTCCAACCGTTTTGGCGTGATTGAGTAACAAACATCCAAACATCGTAACTTTCGCATTTCTATTATTAGCAAGATAAGATTCCGTTACAGGTCGACCTGGTAGAAAAAACCCTGAAACAATGGCTATACCTGTTGCATAACCGGAGCCGCTAGTTGCTGTTCGAGGACCTCGATTGAGGAGGTGGCTGAAGGTGGTCCGCGAGCACTGGTGGGATGCTTAAACCGCCAATCCCTGGGGGAAAGATGAAACATTTTTGTATTTTGTAGGTGAAAAAAACAATTATTATGAAGACTTTGACTGCACGGTTAGCGCAGTGTCTGGGCAACTGGCTGTTGTGCAACGTGTCGCTAGTTCGATTCCCGCACAGAACAACACTTTGTGTGAGTGAATTTGTATGTTTGTAAACGCACTCACGACACAGGAGAATATCCTAGTGTATAAAAGAAAAGAAAAAGAAAGGAGACTCAGCAATGGACACTTATAGGCTGATAACGTCGTACAGTGAAACGTCACTACGTCAAAAATAAAATGAATACGAAGTTTCAGTATAATAAAATATTGAAAAATAACTATAGGTACTTTTATTCATTGATCTGTCGATATACTTACTAAATTTTCGATATTGTTAACTAATTATTAAGAAATAAGTAAGCCATTTGACGCTAAAATACTATTACGTCAAAATTTGGCGTTTCATACAAATTTCATAGGAAGGTATCGTTTTTGACATTTGAATAAAAGTATTGAATTTGACCAGTTGGAAACTACCGTATTGTTGAATTGTGAAAAAACGAATGACTCCAAAAAGTAAAAAAAAACACAAAATCATTTATTTCAATTACACCCTTGCAGGCACTATTGAACGTCAAACAAAGCTTAAAGATAAAAAGTGTCAGGCTGTCGGTCAGTCCTCTAGTCAAGCTACAATAATACTTAATCTTTACTGATTTGACACATTATTGATACACTTCATTTTAGGCCATTATTAGAAAAAAATCGGTTATTCCTAGGTCAATTATAAATGATTTTGACTCTTCAATACAAATGATACGTTCTTTCCTCAAAAGACCATTGTATTACTAGTGGTCTTTTGAGGACTTAGGGTCTACTTAAACTGGAGTGGTTCTTCTCTGAAAAAAGACTTGTTGTGAAGACAGACTGACTGGAAAGACCAGGGAGATTGGAATATGGAACTGCTACTCACTTGGGCGGAAGCTGATCTGGTCTGCTACTCCATTCCCAAACCCAGTCGTTGGAGTCATCCTGAAAAGAAGAGCCAAAACGTGAATTGCATATAATGAATTGCATTTAAGTGTGGGAGAGCCATGCTTCGGCACGAATGGGTCGGCTCGACCGGAGTGATACCACGGCCTCACAGAAGACCGGCGTCAAACAACCACAGCGTTTTGTTTCGCCGTGTGAGTGAGGCCCAATCCTTCCCCTCCCCCAATCCCTCCTTATTCCCTAAATCTCCAAATCCCTAATCCCTAAAAGGTCCGCAACGCACTCGTAACTCCTCCGTTGCGAGTGGCAATGGGCGGCGCTGATTGCTTACCATCAGGTAATCCGTCTGCTGTCCCTGTCCCTGTCTCTGTCTCTGTGTCTGTCTCTGTCTCTGTCTCTGTCTCTGTCTCTGTCTCTGTCTCTGTCTCTGACTGATTCTGTCTCTCTCTCCCAGAAATTAGTGATAGCTTACAAGTTAAGTATAATTTTAAACAGTCCTCATTTAATTCATTAGACCCCAAAACCGAACGCCGGCGTTCGCACACCTAATGTGTATAGAATATAAGAAAGAGATACTCACTCTCCAGCAGTTAATGTAGACTCCCTTCAGCTCGTCCTCCGTGGAAGGCTCCAAGTTTGGACTGTTGGGCGGCGATTTAGGACTGAAAAGATGGAGAAAAATATCGTTAACAATGATTTTCGACGTCAATTCATGATAATAGACGATCTCTAGACACCGTAAGCGCGGGTCCGCGGACGGCAAGCCAATCCGAAGTAGCACCTAGCCGCCCGACCAGAACCAGACCCGAGCGTACGGCGCGTAGCGTTCCGCGCGCGCCTCAAAGAGTCAATAACACACCACAGACGGGGCCCTATAGGGCTGATGTTCAGCCGGGGTTGCGGGGTAAGCGCAATGAGGCATCGCGACCTCGGCCCAGAGCAGGAGAAGGAACAGAGGGATTTTTAGTCAGTAAGAGTCTGACACTCCCTTCTGCCTTGCCCTGGGCGGGAGAAGTCATTTTTCATGATTTTCCCCTCACAAAAAAAAGCGCGGTGCAGGAGACAGAAGGAGTGGTTAGTGACAGAAGGTGGTTTTCACGTCAGTAAGAGTATGGCACTCGCTTTCGCGGAAAAGGTCATACGATGACTATCCCCCGTCAAAACTCATATACCTATCATATATTATATATATAGCGCTGCGTGCGCTCAACGCCATGTCGCAACATATAGATTTGTTTCACTGCACTATGAATGAATTCACTCGGACCGCATATAGAATAACTTCCATAGTAGATTAAGTTGTTAAATATAGGAAAGTTTATGTAATTTTATTTTATAATTAGTATGTAAGGTTTCTTTGTATTGTTTTTGATTTTATGTATTTCTTTATAATGTTACTACACTATTGTATTAGGAAACTCCTGTGATAATAGTTGTATGTTGGTGATAAATAAATAAATAAATATATTCTACCTACCTATCAAACAAACATCAAAACAAGTTAAAAACAGGTCGAGATACAATCAGAACCTAGTATTTCTAAAAGAATTACTGGATATTTCGTAAAAGCTAACGAGAACATCTTCACACGCTCATCAACACAACAATATTAATTAAAAACTATAAAACGTACTGTTTATACTTTATTAAGAGCAAAAAAAACCAAAGGATCTCTCGTATTTTTTTTTATTAAAAACTAACTACTCTCGCGCCATTTCATCCGCTGCTCGGCTCCATTTGATCGTTAGCGTAATGTTTTATAGCCTATAGCACTCGGGAACATTGTAGCTATCTATCAGTGAAAGAATTTTGGCAATCCGACCAGCGGTTCCAAGATTACCCCCTACATACAAACTTACAAATTTTACCTCTTTGTAATATTAGTATAGACTTACGACTAACGACGACGACTTTTTTAAAAGTTGCCCGATGTAAATATATTCTCCTGTGTCGTGGGTGCGTTTACATACATACAATGTCACATACACATCACACCCAGACCCGGAACAACAATTTGTGGATGACACAAAGAGTTATCCCGGGTATTGAACCAGAGAAACGTTGAGCATCCATCGCGTCAACCGTGCTGCCAAATATTTGTAACAAGCTCCCGCCCGCGTGCTATGTTCATAAAAAGTAGCCATGTCCTATTCCGGAGTGTATCCTATCATCATCATCAGCCTATAAGAGCCCACTGCTGAGCAAAGGCCTCTTCTCACACAGAGAAGGTTAGATCATTAATCACCACGCTTGCTCAATGCGGGTTAGCGATTTCAAACTTATGATTAGAAATTATAAGTCCAGGTTTCCTCACGATGTTTTCCTTCACCGTATGTCTCTAGTCACTACACGACAACAAAGTACCATGATCCATTAGATTTTAACTCTCTTTAAAAAGGCAAAAAGTCGAAATTCGTCTGTATCTAACATAATAACAGACATGTGCCCCAATTCTCAATGGGTATTGATTGGATAATTGCTTTGGGTATTAGAGTGACAAAGATATAGTGGCATTCCTTTTGATAGGTATGATTGCATGTTTCCCTTTCGTTACTGCACTCCACATGTTACCGCGAATCTTCTAGTCATCATATCATTTATTTTACACTCAATCACGCCAAAACCGCTGGACGGATCTGGATGAAATTTGGCACAGGCATAGGATACGCGTCTTGGTGGACCGGAGGCTAAGGAGCCCGCTTCTCATGCATGAGGGTTCGAAACCTGGCAAGTATCAATGTGACTTTTTCCGAGTTATATGTACTTTCTATGATTATTTAGACGCCTCTGACTCTGACATACGGTGAAGGAAAACATCGTGAGGAAACCCGGACTTACAATTTCTAATTATAAGTTTGAAATCGCCAACCCGCATTGAGCAAGCGTAGTGATTAATGCTCAAACCTTCTCCGTGTGAGAAGAGGGCTTTGCTCAGCAGTGGGCACTTATAGGCTGATGATGATGATGATAAGACTAAAGCCGTACTCAAGAGTAATTTAATCCTTGTGTTACACAAAAGTTTTGAGAACACAAGGTTTATTAAAGAATAAGTCATCACTAATGTTAATTAGCACGTCAATTAAACCACGCATCAAACATCCTACAAATATTATAAACGCGAAAGTGTGTAAGTACGGATGTATGTTTGTTACTCTCTCACGTAAACACTACTGAACGGATCTGAATGTAATTTGGCACAGAGATAGATTATAGTCTGGAATACCACATGGGATACTACTACTATGGGTTTTTAAAGTCAATTGGACAAGCCCGGCGCTACCTTCCAAAACCGCTGCAACTCCTGTACACCAGAATCTACAGTAGATACAACCATGAAAACACCGGAACTCTGAAGTCCGCCGCGTCCCAGGGACATGAATGACTGTCTTGGATCCCGCAACGAAATAAATCAGAAGATTTAAGTGTGGGAGAGCCATGCTTCGGTACGAATGGGTCGGCTCGACCGAAATGATACCACGGCCTCACAGAAAACCGGCGTGAAATCGCCACAGCGTTGTGTTTCGCTGTGTGAGTGAGGTTACCGGAAGCCCAATCCTTCCCCTTCCCCAATCCCTAAATCTCCAAATCCCTAATCCCTAAAAGGTCGGCAACGCACTCGTAACTCCTCCGTTGCAAGTGTCCATGGGCGGCGCTGATTGCTTACCATCAGGTAATCCGTCTGCTCGTTTGCCGACCTATTCCATAAAAAAAGATTATTCGAGGAGGAGAAAAAACTAAATATTTTCTTCTTCACTCGGTAAGTTTAATGCAGGAGACGGAATGACTTACCTAGCATATACATATATAATATACATAAGACCCTCAGTGGTATTAGACAGATCGTGTTACGTGCGGTTAAGGGGCGCCAGACGACTTTGTTAGAATACACCTATCATACTAGCACGTGTTAACACCCATTTACTATTTACAACATATTTGTTCGTTTCCTTTCACGGGACCACAGGATCCCGGACCTTTGGAAGGCGTACGAGGAGCCGAAGCCAACTCGCAGACGCCCGTTGAACAGTTTTATATAAATGTGATGGGACATCAGCCGGCAATTATCCCTGTATGCACTATAAAAGTGCACCCAAGGACAATCCCCGGTTGATGCAGGACTATTGTGAAATGTGGTAAAATTTGATAGGGTTATGAATACGGACAACATTAATTATTACGCGGGTATTAACGCGGAAAATAATTGTTTTTTTTTTTTTTTTCGTTTATTAAACAACCACATTGATACAATCATATTAACCTGTATATACATACCAGCAAAAACCATCGAGGGTTTAACAGCGGCAAACGTCAAACGGCCTAATGTGGTATAAAGTGAAAAATAAGGGGTAGATGAAGATTCATCGCCCGAATGCAGGGAGCTGTGACATCGCATCTTCAGTCTGCTTGCGACCACGACCTGTGCAACCGGGTCGAAACGTCAAGCCTACCAAGGTATTTAAATAATTATTTTCGCTTTAATACATAAATATGAAACGCGAAAGTTTAAAACCCAGTTACTAGCCGCAGTACTTGGGCAAAAAGAAGCTACCCGACAGAGAGGAAGTGGGAAGCTGTCTCCTCTTTCTGCGAAGCAGTTATGCTCGCAAAGGAGGCGGACCGCGTAAGTCTAAGTGTGGGAGAGCCATGGCTCGACCGGAGTGATACCACGGCCTCACAGAAAACCGGCGTAAAATAACCATAGCGTTGTATTTCGCCGTGTGAGTGAGGTTACCGGAGGCCCAATCCCTAATCCCTAAAAGGTCGGCAACGCACTCGTAACTCCTCCGTTGCGGGTGTCCATGGGCGGCGCTGATTGCTTACCATCAGGTAATCCGTCTGCTGGTTTGACGACCTATTACTTAAAATAATAAAAAATAAAAAGGGAGCTAGCTGTCCTTCTCCTGACGCCCCAGTGGGGGTAGCGGTAGTCTTCTCCTCAGCAGTAACAATAGGAATGTGTATCAACTCAAACGCGTTAGTTTACTGTCAAAACAAGTCTGTTTATAAACTTCATATCGTTTCACAGAAACCTGTATAACCAGTGTAAGTCTAGGAAAATGTCTGCTAACGAATCTGTGTTTACCGTCTAGATTTCTAGAATTATTTAAATGTGTATTTGATTAGAAACTATCGTGATACATACTAAATTGAACGAAAACTTCGCACGCGTATAAAAGTAATATATTAAAAAAAGCAGCGTTTAAAGCAAGAAGAAATAAAGAAAGAAGAAAGGAAGAAAGGAAGAAAGAAAGAAGAAAGAAAAAATACTTATTAAAAAGCGATAGTTCGACTAAAATAATCAAATCAAGTATAATTAATTATAGCACTCATGGAAAATAGTAACTATACATATCAGTGAAAAATTTTTCGACAATCCTTAAAAATTTTACTCCTTTACAATAATAGAATAGTCAATGAAACGACTCACTTGCATGACATTAACTGATAAAAGTTCTTCTAGTTTCGAGTTACATCGGGACTCTTGTTGTAATAAAAATGACTAAAGTATTGCTATTTTTTAAATGGATAGAGAACAAAGGAACAGACTAATTTCAAGTGTGGAAGAGTCATGCTTCGACACGAATGGGTCGGCTTAGCCGGAGTGACACCACGGCCTCACAGAAAACGTACGTGAAATAACCACAGCATTGTGTTTCGCTTTACGAACGAGCTCCAAAACTTCCCTTACGCACTCGTAGCTCCTCGGGCATCCATGGGCGGCGTCGACTGCTTACCATCAGGTAATCCGTCTGCTCATACGCCCCTAATCTCATAAAAAGAAACAGCGGTGGGCCTAACAAAACTTACAATATTATTTTACATAGTAAAGACCCCAACGTGTGTGTGTGCATAAAAATGCAACGGCGACGCGTTCCGTGCGTCAGCCATTACAGAACCAAACGTCCTCATTATGGGGCTTCTTTGCATGCAGTTGTAATTAACTTTGCACTTACAATCGATACTAGAACAACGAAATAGTAGAGAACAAGATTCTTTGCTGCTACAGTTATATCAAATACAGACCACACAATTAGCCAAACTAATTTTTTTATTAAAAAAATCGTTTTTAAATACCTTTCGACAATATATCACACTTTGGGGTTGAGATAAAAAAATAACACTAATGTATTTATATCTATATATATAACAGAAAGTCGTGTTAGTTACTCCACCTATAACTCAAGAACGGCTGAACCGATTTAGCTGAAAATTGGCAGGGAGGTAGTTTAGAGCCAGGAGAAGGACATAGGATAGAGTAGGTTGAGTAGGGTAGGGTAGGTAGAGTGGGGTAGAATGACGGGAGCGACGCCGCGGGTAAGAGCTAGCAGAAGATAAGAAACACACCCTGCTTTTTATCTGATGATTATTGAGCTGATGTTCAGCCGGGGTTGCGGGGTAAACGCAATGAATCACCATCCAGATCAGGAGAAGGAACGGGGTTTAGCTAGTAAGAGTCTGACACTCCCTCCAAACCTTGGGCGGGACAAGTCATTTGATGACATTCCCCTCACAAAAAAAAACGATATAAAAGACTAGAATCAACCTGTTTTACATAGCACTTATAAACGTGGCTCATATCATGAAATATGGCAATAACTGAAAACAAACCAGATTTCCTATCAACAAAAGGTACCTCTACCTAAACAAAACAAAACAAAACTCACTGAAAACTGTCAAACACAACCGCGTGTCGCGTGTTTTCAGTCACGTGTAATGAAACCGTTACGCAATAGCCCGTGAAATAGTTAAAAGGAAAACCAGAATAAGATAAACAAGATTGGGAAACAGTGAATTTATACTATATTACAAAGGTTATTTTTTTATTTTAAAAATGTTTGTATGTAGGGAATAATCTTTGGAAACGCTGGTCCGATTGCCGAAATTCTTTCACTGATAGATAGCTTTTTTTGTGAGGGGAAAATCATCAAATGACTTCTCCCGCCTAGGGTTGGGTGGGAAGTAGTGTCAGACTCTTACTGACTAAACCCCCCCCCCCCCCGTTCCTTCTCCTGCTCTGGGCCGAGGTCGCGATATCTCATTGCGCTTACCCCGCAACCCCGGCACTGATAGATAGCTACAATGTCCCTGAGTGCTGTAGGCTAAACATCACGCTACAATCAAATGGAGCCGAGCAGCGAGTGAAACCGCGCGGGAGTAGCAATAAAATAGCACTTATATTACTTATATGTCACGTACACTATACGTCAAATATATAACTGTCAGACGGAATACCTGATGGTAAGCACTCAGCTTTTTTTTATTGTGATAGAACGGCAAACGAGCAGACGGATTACCTGATGGTAAGCAATCGGCGTCGTCCATGGACACCCGCAACAAAGAAGAAGTTACCAGTGAGTTGCCGACCTTTTAAGGATTGGGATTTTGGGGATTTTGGGACTGGGAAGGGATTGGGGTAGGGGAAGGATTGGGCGTCCGGTAACCTCACTCACACGGCGAAACACAACGTTGTGGTTGTTTCACGCCGGTTTTCTGTGAGGCCGTGGTATCACTCCGGCCGAGCCGACACATTCGTGCCGAAGCATGGCTCTCCCACACTTAACTGCTGCTTAGCTTGTTAACTACCTTTCTCATTCTACCTACTCTACCTTATCCTATGTTTGTCTTCAGCTTAAGCACGCGGCTTCGTCCGCGTGGCACGTTAATAAAAAGCCTATATCCTATTCTGGAGTAAATTCTCTGCCTGTGCCAAATTTCATCCAGATCCGTCCAGCTGTTTTGGCGTGAATGAGTAACAAACATCCAAACATCGTAACTTTCGCATTTATAATATTAGTAAGATGTAAGATAAGTGGAATCTCTCTCTCTCTCTCTCTCTCTCTCTCTCTCTCTCTCTCTCTCTCTCTCTCTCTCTCTCTCTCTCTCTCTCTTTCTCTCTATTGAAATCTCTCGGTATTTTCTCCTTTTTGCTTCACTCACCTGCCTTTAACGCTGGAGGCTCGGGAGTGCCTCACGGAGGAGTCCCGGCTGTCCCTCTGAGCTTCCCGCAGCAGTCTGATGTACTCGTTCTCCACGGCGGCAAGGCCACCGCCGTTGTTGAGTTCCACCCATGATTCTGGAAGAAAAAGATATAAATTTAATGAATATTTTACCAAAATCTTGTGGTGACGTGGTAGCGATTTTAGGTGGGATAGGAATAGAGGGAGGATGGTGTTGAGGCACCATTTTCCCGCGGCAATAATGGTAGTCATCCCGTCCTCGGCTGATCAACAAAAAATAGTAGCTTTCTCTGTCCCTATATCCCTATGTATGCTTGAATCTTTGAAACTACGCAACGGATTTTGATGCGGTTTTTTAATAGATAAGAGTGATTGAAGAGGAAGGTTTATATGTATAATAACTCCCATTATAAAGAGCCGGTGCGGGTCGCTACTAAACAATTGGATAAAGCTAAGCTTAATGTTATATATTCTTACTTTAAGGTTAAAATACTATTCAATTACTACAAATAAACCATTTTTTTTATTAAATAAATAGTCGTGGTTACCAAGCGTTTAAGGCGCCCGTTTCTCATACCTATTCAATTCTCCGATGTCCGAAACCTGGCAAGTACCAATGTGACTTTTTCCGAGTTATATGTACATTCTATGATTATTTAGACACTACTGATATACGGTGAAGGTAAACATCGGGAGTAAACTGCAACTTATAAATTGGAAATTGACAATCCGCTTTGACCAAGCCTGGTGGTTAATGCTCAAACCTTGTCCGTGTGCAAGAGGCCTTTGCTCAGCAGTGACTCCGTTCGCATGGAATAGTGACTCCTGCAAATATTTGGTATAAAAACTGTCCTACGTCCTTTCTCGAGTTCCAAACAATGTCTGTACCAAATTTAACAGAAATCGGTTCGGTAGTTTAGGCGTGAAGAAAAAAAAGACAGACAGAGTTACTTTCGCATTTATAATATTAGTTTGGATGATGTGTACGCACACATTACACAGAAGAAACCCTTTTTTTTGTGAGGGGAAATCATCAAATGACTTCTCCCGCCCAGGGCCGGGCGGGAGGGAGTGTCAGACTCTTACTGACTAGAAACCCCCCTGTTCCTTCTCCTGTTCTCGGCCGAGGTCGCGGTGCCTCATTGCGCTTACCCCGCAACCCCGGCTGAGAAGAAACCCCCTAGAGCTTTAAAAAACAAATATTTCAATGATTCCAATTCCAACTAAACATTGAAATGAATATCATGATTTAGTGAAGCTATTTGCTCGTTCCAAAGTGTAGATTCCGATGGAGAAGAACGAGCAAGAAACTCCATGGTTACTCTTTTTAAATCAGTTTCACATACAGATTCCTTATACAAACAGTTGGTTCAATTATGCCTGTGCCAAATTTCATCCATATCCGTCCAGCTGTTTTGTCGTGATTGAGTAACAAACATCCAAACATCGTAACTTTCGCATTTATAATATTAGTAAGACTCTAACTAAACATTGAAGTGAATATCATGATTGTTATATTTTTATAGCATTCACAATCAGTAGTGACGATTCACTCTATAATTAATTTAGCGTGCTGCGTGCCCGGCGCATCCGCTGTGGCACGCAAACAATAGACGACCGCCATTTTATTTTTTAATTTGTTTATTCAATCCTGTTGTTGTTATGTAACACGTTTCACGTTTTTAAATCATCAAATGACTTCTTCTGCCCAGGGTCGGGCGGGAGGGAGTGTCAGACTCTTACTGACTAAAAACCCCCCCGTTCCTTCTCCTGCTCTGGGCCGAGGTCGCGGTGCCTCATTGCGCTTACCCCGCAACCCCGTCTAAACATAAGCTCTATAGGGCCCCGTCTGTGGTGGTCTATTGGCTCTTTGAGGCGCGCGCGGATCGCTACGCGCCGTACGCTCGGGTCTGGTTCTGGTCGGGCGGTGAGCTACCCTTACTCGCCATTCGTACCGAAGCATGGCTCCCCTACACTTAAAAACTCCTCTACATAAGAGGGGTTTGCCACAATCTCCGCAGACAGGCGGGTTGGAGATCGCAGTTTAAAAGGTTCAGGGGTATCAGAGAGCGCTGCTGTCTGTTCTTTTCGTCGGGCATGTGATACCCATGGGAAGAGTTGAGGTAGTGACTGATGCATATAAAACAAAGCAACAATCCTTACACAGATTGAGCTAACCAATAATCTCTTAATGGTCAATAATAGCTCTTATGTCATTCGCATTACGAGTTACCGAGATAATGAAATTTCTCCTTTGACTTATGACATTTAGATTATGGATTTAGACTTTGATTCGTTAACGATGTCATGTGGAAGCGTGACGCGTTCATGGGCAGGTCGGGTGAAAAACAACGAAGGGCTGATTTGCCAATGGTTAGATAAAAGTTACCTGTGGAATAATTATGATGCTGTCGCGTCACAATGTTTGTATAAGACAGTGACAGCAACAATTTTATTACTCAGATAACATTTATCTGACTATTGAAAAAAATCAGCTCTAAGAAAAAGAATAGTAAGCTTTCAATCGCGACAATTGGATTGTTTCATAGGTCAAAAATAAATTAATTCGACGTTTCCATACAATAGAATATTGAAAAATAACTTAAACTTTTATCCATCGATCTGTCGATATACGAAATTTTCGACTTTTTAACTAATTTTTAAGAAACAAGTAAGCCATTTGACGCAAAACTACTATGACGTTATAATTCGGAGTTGCATACAAATGATTTGACATTTGGATAAAAGTAATGAATTTGACGCAGCCCCGGCTCAGAGAAGCACGTGTTGGTTTTTAGTCAGTAAGAGTCTGACACTACGTCAAAAAGAAAAAAGATAAAGGCATATCAACATGTCGTGGTGGCCCGGAGGTTAAGGAGCCCGCTTCTCATGCATGAGGGTGTGGGTTCGAAACCTGGCAAGTACCAATGTGACTTTTTCCGAGTTATATGTACTTTCTATGATTATTTAGACACCACTGGCATACAGTGAAGGTAAACATCGTGAGGAAACCTGGACTTGTAATTTCTAATTATAAGTTTGAAATCGCTAATCCGCCTTGAGGAAGCGCGGTAGTTAATGCTCAAACCTTCTCCGTATGAGAAGAGGCCTTTGCTCAGCAGTGGGCACTTATAGGCTGATGATGATGATGATGAACATGCCGAAGCCCCGGCCCGGAGACTCAGTACTAACGGGTTGGTTTTTAGTCAGTAAGAGTCTGTCACTCTCTCTCTCCCCACCCAGGGCTGGAAAGAAGACATTCAAGGACATATCCTCTTTCTTCCTTTCAAATTTCCGTGACATTGACAGGTCAACGACCTGATATACAATATCAGTCTGCTACTTATCAAGATAAAAAGAGTCTTATCGCCAACATCTATTTGCAAATTGCACAAGTGTATGCAAAGATATATAATTATAAAGAAAGCAGTACGTTAGATATATTGTTAGGTTATTGTTTAGAAATTTTATCTAGGTATAATTTGATATCAGTTTTATCCGAAGACAGACATGGTAGGTAAATTATATTATTAACTAGTGGCCCGGTCCTGATTCGCACGGATATCCCACCGGTTGCGATAGTCCTATTCACGCCTTTTCCTATCTAAAATTTTCTTTCATAAGAACCTTCTCCTGGCAATTACAAACACAACAAAATAAGTTTTAGCAGAATTGGTCCAGGCGTTTTTGAGTTATGCGCTTACTTACACATTTTGCTATTCATTTTTACATCATAGATACTACTTAATAGACTTTTTTGAAAGGGGAAAATCATCTGATCACGTCCCGCTAGGCGGAACAAAAGAGAGTGTAAAGACACTGACTGATTTAAAACCACCGCATTTCGTGCAGCAGTGTGCTAATGCAGTGCTTATGCGTCAATAAATTAGTATGTCTTACGATAACTACTATTCAAAAGAGCATGCATAGTTAAAAATTCCGATCGCAAGCAACGATCTCCGGCCACAACAACCCGATTAGAAACAGACCCGAGCGCACGGCGCGAAGCGTTCCGCACGAGCCTCAAAGAGTTAATAGAACACCACAGATGGAGCCCAACATATCCAACGCTCAGCTAAGGTTGCGGGCTCAGCCTAGAGCAGGAGAAGAACCCTTTCCTAAGTCTTTAGTCATTAAGAGTCTGACACTTCCTGTCGCCTCACCCTGGGCGAAAGGAGTCATAATTGATTATCCTATTACCAAAAAAAAAACAATCAATTTTTTTAAGGATTAACAAACAAAATTACTAATACATAGTTCATCACAAAATGCTATTATTGTTACTAAGATATTAAACAATTTAACACAACAATCGCTAAAAGCCTTTGGAACTACATTAGAACATTTTGCACACTAACGCTAATTCAGTACGTTGAACTTAAACAAACAATAATGGCGCCATATTTTGGTCGGACACTGTGTAAGAAAGGGTAACACTGTTTTCCCTTGTTTCTGGAAAATGTTCTGGCAAATTCTACCTTTGTTTACCTCGAAACGTATTGTACAGGAGTTTTGTAAAATCGCCTCTCAGTTCACGTCAGTAAAGTCAGTTTTATAATTTTCAAGATTTGCTCCTATATCGTGAGTGCGATGCATTTACAATCATACACAAGCCGCCCAAACGCGAAACAACAATTTGTGGATCACACAAAGCATTGCTCCTTGCGAGATTTGGACTGTAGTTAATTCACGCCGGTTTTCTGTGAGGCCGTGGTATCACACCGGTCGAGCCGACCCATTCGTGCCGAAACATGGCTCTCCCATACAATAATTTGGTCAAAAGACTCAATTGGACTCAACCTATATTCATAGATTTCACAAAGGCTTTCGATAGATAGGACAATTTTATACATCTTGTAAAAAACCGTTCCGTATAAACGTAGACACAATACAACTCCTATTAACAGTATCCCTGATTTAATTTATTTTATATATTGTATTCATAAAATTATTCTGTAAGTTTATACAAGTGTATATATAAATTTTGTCAGCGTGTCCTAGCTTTGCACGAACCGCTTGATTTCTCTATACCAGAAGGGCATCATCATGTGATCAGGACCAATCTTTCCTCAACCCTATCCCAAAAACTCCAAAACCCCAAAAGGTCGGCAACGTG